GATCTCACGCATGCGCAGACTGAGAAATCCGAAAGAAATCAGAGTAAGAGTTTACATGCACTGAGGAATCTGATTACTGAGCTAAAATCCAGCCTCTTTATCGGATTTCTTAATTGGATTTCTAGATCCAGATTCAGAGTATGGTGTCTACATGACCATTTGAATAATCGGATAACTGCAGAAATCCAATTATGATTCGGATTATTGAGTGCATGTATACGCAATCAATGGCTGCGTTTACATGCAAAGGTTTTTGCCAATCCAATTGAACACATTCCGATTACAGATTAAGATTGAGGTGTTTATTCTCACTCTACTCAACAATCTGATGAAAATCTCTGTTTACGTGCTCACTACAAGTAATCTGATCCAAAATGACACGCATGCGTGGAGAACCACTTAGAGTAAACGCTACCATGACAACCAGCATCACGTGAGTCCAGTCAGAGTGAGATGAGCAGCAGTGAGCAGTGCTTGTGTTTTTAATTACCCACCTCGTTCAATCGGATAGAAATTGTATTCCCAATGGCGTATTTACATGGACGTAGTCTATTCCGATTGAGCTATTAGTCGGATTATTAACGGATTATTGGGCTGCATGTAAATGTGAATATTGACTGCAGAACTGCAGGAGTGTGACTCTCTCACTAATGATTCTACGTGATTAGGATCATTTAGGAAATCTTTCAGTCTACTATGATTATATATATTATTATATGACAGGCCAAATAGAAAATATTAAACAAACTTTGATATATATGCATTGAAAACATCACTCAGCAAGCACTCGCTTTGCTCTCAAAACATCCTAGAGTCATCACCGAGCCAACAACAAGTCAACTAGTCAACTAGTCTGTGCAACCCTGCTGCACTGCAGCAACATGTTTGGCAGACTCGGTAGCTGTATATATATCAGATCAGAATCAGATCAGATTAGAATCAACTTTAGTTGGATTCATTGGTGCAGAGCCAATTAAATGCAGTTAACATCTAACCAGAAGGGCAAAATATAGTATTATTTACAGTACAGTTACAATATAAACAATTAAGGACAGTAGAGTGGTAAAAAAAATATATGTATATATATATGTATATATATATATATATATATATATATATATATAAGCATTCGTAAAGAGATAAAAAAATAATTTACCCTACAGTGTTCTGTGTCTAATAATAATAAAATATATACACACACACACACACACACACACACATACACACACACACACACACACATACACACACACACACACACTCACACATACATATGTATCACCAGGAATAATGGACAACAGAAATCAGTAAAAATCTCTCTAAATAGAGTAAATAATCTTATACATACATACATCTTCTAAACCGCTTATCCTTCTGGGTCGCGGTGGGGTGCTGGAGCCTATCCCAGCTGTCATTGGGCGGAAGGCAGGATACACCCTGGACAGGTTGCCAGTCCATCGTAGGGCAGACAGACAGACAGACATACACAGTCACACACACACTCACACCTAGGGGCAATTCAGCATGTCCAGTCAGCCTGACTGCATGTTTTTGGACTGTGGGAGGAAACCGGAGTACCCAGAGGAAACCCACGCAGACACGGGGAGAACAGGCAAACTCCACACAGAAATGACCCTGGTCGCCCGGCCAGGCGACAGCACTACCCACTGCGCCACCGTGCCGCCCAATAATCTTATAATATTATCATAATTTTAGCTATATTTAATGTTTTTAAGATTATTTCACTTCATGGCATACTTTTGCAGTGTTAAAAAGCTGTCGGGTTTATGGAGAATGTGCTGCAGATGGTTCTATATAGAACCTTTTTTAAGGGTTCCATATAAAAATGTTCTTTAGTAAAGGGAAGTTCTATATAGAACTGTTTCATGGTGAAATATTTCTTCAGATTGATTTATATAGTTCCATTGATTCTGTTGTTACAGGCTTGACCTAGCAGCAGAAACCTGTTTGGTGCTATAGAACCATTTACAACACATTCTCCATCAATCTTAAGCATAAAATGCTTCTTTATAGAACCGATGGTTCTAAATAGAAGACGAAAGCAACAACGTCAATGGATTTTAAAGTTTCACTTGATATTTTTGCTGCATTAAAAAGGTGTTAGACTGATATAGCACCTTTTTGGTAAATATTTCACCATGCAAGGAACCCTTTTAGCCTTCAAATGGTTCTTTGAGTGTTCATGGTTCTATATAGAGCCACTGTCTTTACTAAGGAAACCCTTGAAGAGCAAGGTTTTTTAAGCGTGCACCAGGCGTGAGTTTGATTGCAGAGATATGCAAAACGACAAATATGATGAAAATTTCTGTGTGATCATTTTAAGACTGGATTTGATGGTACAGAACTCTGAGGAATAAAGGCTAGTCATCCAAAACAGACATCAAAATTGGCCTTGATCTACTCCAAGCTTTCGGAGTGGCCTTCACCACCGACACACTGAAACATGACTGGAAATCTGTGGGTAGATCTCAAACAAGCTGTGTATGACAATGTTTCTGAACTAGCAGCATTGGAATAATTCAAGTGGGAATAATTCCTACAGTTCCTCTGGGAAAAGTGAATGTGGTGCAACTTTAAAATTCCTATAAGGGACACCGCCTGATCTGAACCCCTTAAATGGTCAGGGTCCACCGGCAGACCCAAAGTTTTATTAGACACATCTATGACCTAAGAATTTCTCAGCCAGTTTGTATTGAAGTCCCTGAAGTTACTGAATAATAAGCCATACACTGCAAAAAATAGAATCTTGTCAAGTAAAATGATCTTAAATCTAGTCATAAATCTAATATTTCTCTGGTTGAGATAGTTGTGTGCTTATTTTTAGGATTATGCAGCTTATTTCCAAAGATTTTTACCTGTTTTGAATACAACCCCAATTCCAAAAAAGTTGGGATGCTGTGTAAAATGTACATAAATGTAAATGCAAATCTCAGAGATCCATATTTTATTTATAGTAGAACACAGAACACATATCAGATGTTGAAAGTGAGACATTTTACCATTTCATGAAAAACACTAACCCATTTAGAACTTGATGGCAACAACACATCTCAAAAAAGTTGGGACAGGGTCGTGTCTACCATTGTGTAGCTTCCCCTACTCTTTTAACAGCAGCTTGTAAACGTCTGGGAGGTGAGGAGACCAGTTGCTGGAGTTTTGGGAGAGGAACGTTTCCCATTCTTGTCTGATGTAGGATTCTAGCTGCTCAAGAGTTCTGGGTCTTCTTTACCGGATTTTTCGTTTCATGATGCGCCAAATGTTTTCTATTGGTGAAAGGTCTGGACTGCAGGAAGGTCAGTTCAGCACCCGGACTCTTCTTCTGCAAAGCCATGCTGTTGTGATGGATGCAGTATGTGGTTTATTGTCCTGCTAAAATATGCAAGGCCTTCCCTGAAAGAGACGCTGTCTGGATGGCAGCTTATGTTGTTCTAAAACCTCTATATACTGTTCAGCATTGATAGAGCCTTTCCAGATGTGTAAGCTGCTCATGCCATAGGCACTAATGCAGCCCCAGACCATCAGACATGCAGGCTTTTGAACTGTGCGCTGATAACAAGCTGGACGGTCCCTCTCCTCTGGAGTCCGCAGGACACGGCGTCCGTGGTTTCCAAAAATAATTTCAAATTTTGATTCATCTGACCACAGAACAGTTTTCCATTTTGCCTCAGTCCATTTTAAATGAGCTTTGGCCCAGAGAAGACGGCGGCGTTTCTGGATCGTGTTGGCATATGGCTTCTTCTCTGCATGATGCAGCTTTAACTTGCATTTGTGAATTGCACAGTGAACTGTTTTCACAGACAATGATTTCTGGAAGTGTTCCTGAGCTTATGCAGTGATTTCCAGTACAGAATTATGCCTGTTTTTAATGCAGTGACGTCTGAGGGCCCAAAGATCACGAGCATCCAAAGGGATTTCTCCGGATTCTCTGAATCTTCTGATGATAGTATGTACTGTAGATGGTGGGATATACAAAGTCTTCACAGTTTCACGTTGAGGAACATTTTTCTGTAATTGTCCCACAGTTTTTTTGGTGAACCTCTGTCCATCTTTGCTTCTGAGAGACTCCGCCTCTCTAAAATACTCTTTTTATACCCAGTCATGTGAGTTAGCTGCAAATCGCTCCTTCATCTGTTTTTTTATTAGTACCACTTACTTTTCCAGCTTTTTGTTGGCCCTGTCCAACTTTTTTGAGATGCGTTGCTGCCATCAAGTTCTAAATGAGTTAATGTTTTTCATGAAATGGTAAAATGTGTCACTTTCAACATCTGATATGTGTTCTATGTTCTATTGGGAATAAAATACGGGTCTATGAGATTTGCAAATCATTGCATTCTGTTTTTTATTTACATTTATTTACATTTTACACAATGTCCCAACTTTTTTGGAATTAGGGTTGTAATTTTATTGTACTATATTTCCAGATAATTTTGGTTGTTTTAAGAAATGTGCTTGAAACCAGCTGAATTATCAGTATAATGGGATATTTTTACTTAATAAACTTACTTAAAACAGGTAAAACTGTCTAGAAATAAGCTAAATAATCTTATAATAAGGGCACAACCATCTCAAAATAAGAAATATTATATAAATCGACAAGAATTGAAATAATTTCATTAACAAGATGCCATTTTTTGCAGTCTAGTATGTAATAAGTCTGGGATTTGAATGGGTTAATGATCATTGTTGTACTTTTGAGGGAACATCTGCACCGTTTGTTTTCTGTCAGCATAGCTGCAGTGCTGAAAACTGCAGAACAGATCTTTCCAACAGAACAGAGAGGCAGAGAAGCGTCCGTCTCTGAGCTCCTCTGTATCTGTCTGATCTCTGCATTAGTCGCAGTGTTATTGCTCTGCCTGACTCCTCCAGCGAGGCCTTGAAGGCAGAGCTGTGCATGTCTTATCTCCGTTCTTTGTCCTTCACTCAGCCGTATAAAATCCGCAGAGCAGCTTCAGTGCCTCGCCGTCTCGCATGCTGGGAGGATGCTGCCGGCCGTGGCCAAGCTGTGCTGTGGAATCTCCTACCCGCACTTACGGAGCATGACAGGTACCCACAACCTTCCACACGCAATCATCTCCACTCTGCGGGGGGCTTCTGCTGGGCTTCACAGGGCTTTCCATTCGCAGGCGGAGGGGGTGCACTGCGGTCAGGCAAATACAGCCTACACTCCTAAAAAAGGGGTTCTTTAGTAAAGAAGATGGTTCTATATAGAACCGTGAACATTCAAAGAACCCTTCTGCATGATTAAAGGGTTCTTTCCGTGGTAAAATGGTTCTGTCTCTGAAAATGCTTCTTCTGTTGTTACGGTGTCAAGCTTGTAACAATAGAAGAACCTTTTTGGGTGCTAGATATATTTTCAAAAGGGTTCCAAATAGAACCGTCTATAGCACATTTATGCACATTGTCCATCAATGCAAAGAACCCTTTCACGATGCAAAGAACGCTGAGTATTCATGGTTCTAGGTAGAACCATTGTGTTTACTAAAGAACGCTTGAAGCACCATCTTTTTAAAGAGATATCAAGCTTGTTACAATAGAAGAACCCGTATTGGTTCTATATAGAGCCCTTTTCAAAAAGGTTCTATATAAAACCATCTACAGCACATTTTCAATCAATCTGAAGAACGCTTTCATGATGCAAAGAACCCTTTAATGATGCAAAGTGTTTACTAAAGAACCCTTGAAGCACCATCTTTTAAAATAGATATTAAGCTTGGTACAATAGAAGAGCCCTTTTGGTGCTGAATAGAACCCTTTTCAAGAAAGTTCTACATAGATCCTTTTGAGTATAATCACTCGTTAAAAAGATGCCTTTGGGTTCTTTATTAAAGACAATTGTTCTGTATAGAACCATGAACACTCAAAGAGCCATTTGCATGATTAAAAGGTTCTTTGCATCATAAAATGTTTTTTTCAGATTGATGGATGTTTTATATGGTTCTATTTAGCACCAAAAAGGGTTCTTCTATTGTTACAAGCTGGACATCGTGACAATATTAAAACCTATTTTGGTGCTACATAGAACCATTTTCAAAAAGGTTCTATATAGAACCATTTACATCACTTAAGAACCATTTCACTGTGCAGAGAACCCTTTAAGCATGCAAATGGTTCTTTGAGTGTTCAGGGTTCTATATAGAACCATTGTCTTTACTAAAGAATCCTTTTGCTGGATTTTTTATAAAAGTTTTTTGCTGCATTACACTCTTTAAAAATGTTCTGTAGTAAAGAGAATGGTTCTATTTAGAACTATGAGTTCTATATAGAACCATTTAATGGTGAAATGGTTCTTCAGATTGATTTCTATTGTTCTACTGATTCTATTGTAACAAGCTTGACATCATAACAATTGCAGAAACCTTTTTGGTGCTATATAGAACCATATACAACACATTCTCCATCAATCTCAGCATTAATTTCAGCATAGAAAGAACCATTTAAGCATGCAGATGGTTCTATACAGACCTCATGGTTCTAAATGGAAGACACAGGCAGCACTTTATATTGATTTTCAAGTTATTTTAGTTGTTTCGAGAGCTATAAATGGCCTTAAAGCACCTGTCTGTCTGTTTATGATCTCAGATCTGTAGATACTGATACCTACAAACACCTTCAGTAAAACACAGAAAGCCTGGAGAGACTCTTTCAGTTGTTCTGCTTCTAAACTGTGGAGCTCAGTTCAGCTTTTATTAGACAGTCGAGCTCAGAGCTCACTTTTAATAAACATCTGAAAATGCATTTTTTAATGTAGCAATTATTTTAAATGATAAAGCAAACAGTTTATCTTTTTAGTTTACTTTCTATTTTAAACTATTTTTTATCATGCATGTCTCGGGTTCTTCGGCTACATGTATGAAAGGTACTCCATAAATAAAGTTCAGCATCTATAATTGTCTGCCTATACAGTGGAATCACAAGGTGGATGTTTCTAATAAAGTGGCCAGTAAGTGGAAGCACAAGGTGGGTGTTTCTAATAAAGTGGCCAGTGGGTGAAAGCACAAGGTAGGTGTTTCTAACAAAGTGTCCAGTAAGTGGAAGCACAAGGTAGGTGTTTCTAATAAAGTGGCCAGTGGGTAGAAGTACAAAGTAGGTGTTTCTAATAAAGTGGCCAGTGAGTGGAAGCACAAGGTAGGTGTTTCTAATAAAGTGGTCAGTGGGTGGAAGCACAAAGTAGGCGTTTCTAATAAAGTGTCCAGTAAGTGGAAGCAGATGATAGGTGTTTCTAATAAAGTGGTCAGTGGGTGGAAGCACAAGGTACGCGTTTCTAAGAAAGTGTCTAGTAAGTGGAAGTACAAGGTAGGTGTTTCTAATAAAGTGGCCAGTAAGTGAAAGTACAAGGTGGGTGTTTCTAATAAAGTGGCCAGTAAGTGAAAGCACAAGGTAGGCGTTTCTAATAATGTGTCCAGTGGGTGGAAGCACAAGGTAGGCGTTTCTAAGAAAGTGTCCAGTAAGTGAAAGCACAAGGTGGGTGTTTCTAATAAAGTGGCCCGTGAGTGGAAGGAGAAGGTAGGCGTTTCTAAAAAAGTGGCCAACCAGCAAAAGCACAAAGTAGGTGTTTCTAATAAAGTGGCCAGTGAGTAGAAGTACAAAGCAGGTGTTTCTAATAAAGGGGCCAGTGAGTGGAAGTAGAAGGCAGGTTTCTCTATTAAAGTGGTCATTAGTGTGTTATGTATTTGTATTTGTGTGTTGTTTGGTGTTGCAGGGCTGCAGCGTGTGGCCGTGGCTGCGTTGGGGCAGGAGATTGCACACAGGCAGAAAGTGGGACAGATGCCTCTTCCAGCCTGGGCCAGTTGTGGGAGATGGTCTTGGGGCAACAGCAGTGAAAGTGAGTCTACCACACACACAACCTTCTCTCTGTTCAGATGTCACCACAACTCAGACAACACATTACAAAGGCCAAAACAGGTGACCTGAAAAAATCAGGCTATTTCCACACATTTCATGTAAGAGACAGTAATTGCTCATCAAACAAAGACCACCACAGACACAACGTACGCCAGTCTGAATGACGTCCTCTCCATTCATTCAGCTGTAGGTGAGGTCAGTCAAAGGCCTAAAGTGTCTATTTCTGACTATGGGGGATGCAAATGTGACAGCACTAGAATACATGCTAAAAATATTAGCACATCATTAAAGGTCTGTCCATTTAGGACATCTGTGTGCTGTGTTTCTCTGGCCACAACACAGCCTGACGCCAGGCCTGTGTAACAGTGCTTAGCGACATTATCCTCAGCTGGAAAACAGCTAAATTGTGTTCACAGTAACAAAAATGAGTTTTCTTTGGGAACTGTTTGCCTCATAACATGCTGTATGTATCCCTCCACCACGAATGGACTGAAAATGAGTTTGTAACTGTTTTTATAAAGCAACCAGTTTTATCTTTTCATTTTTATTTGATAGAATTTGTATCATGCATGATTCTGCTTCTTTTAGTGGCTACATATATGAAAAGTGCTCTATAAAAAAAGCTTAACATCTGCCATTGATGAGTATTCAGTGGAAGTACAAAGTAGGTGTTTATAATAAAGTGGCCAGTCAGTGAGAGTACAAAGTAGGTGTTTCTAATAAAGTGGCCAGTGAGTGGAAGCACAAGGTAGGTGTTTCTAATAAAGTGGCCAGTTAGTCAAAGTACAAAGTAGGTGTTTCTAATAAAGTGGCCAGTGAGTGGAAGCACAAGGTAGGTGTTTCTAATAAAGTGGCCATTGAGTGAAATCACAAGGTAGGTGTTTCTAATAAAGTGGCCAGTGAGTGGAAGCACAAGGTAGGTGTTTCTAATAAAGTGGCCAGTTAGTCAAAGTACAAAGTAGGTGTTTCTAATAAAGTGGCCAGTGAGTGGAAGCACAAGGTAGGTGTTTCTAATAAAGTGGCCAGTCAGTGAAAGTACAAAGTAGGTGTTTCTAATAAAGTGGCCAGTGAGTGGAAGCACAAGGTAGGTGTTTCTAATAAAGTGGCCAGTCAGTGAAAGTACAAGGTGGGCGTTTCTAATAAAGTGGCCAGTGAGTGGAAGCACAAGGTAGGACTAGGTAAGCAGTTTAAAAATACATTTTAGGCCAAAACGTTTTTTAATATTGTCATATATTGAAAACACTTGGTAACTTGGCAAGCAAATTATCATATTTCTAGATATATTTACTTGTTTTAAGCAATTTTATAGTCTAAAACTTTATTGGCAGATCGTTTTGCTTATATTAAGAAATATATCTGAAACAAGCAAAGTTCTGGCAATATAGTGCATAAGTAAGATAATATAAAATAATAAGCATATTTGAGATAATTTTGCTTGCCAGGATGCCATCTTTGGCAGTGAGGGAGCTTTTAGAGGTGGACGTCTGGTTCCTATCACCACCACTGTGAACAGGTCTGACTCGATAAGTTTCTCCAGAACAGAGCGTTTCACACCAAACCACTCTGAACGACTCTGTTTACATCTCAACCAGTTATTTAATGTATTTTCAATTGTAATCCTACAGTTATTATTATCATTTTGTGATCCCATTTAATTATTCATTCTAATTACATAACTATATAGTTAGGTTCTCTTATGAATGACTTACTTTCAATATTCGTTTTGCTCCGACAGGCTTGAATCTGCACTGCTGACTGTTTTCTGTTTGTTTCTCATTTTTCAAACCACAACATCTGCGACTTCTAATGGTCCAGTGTTTTAGAACATCCCTGTAAACTGTGCCGTGAAACGCTGAATTAAAATGTTCATGTTGTGTGACGGTTGTGGTCCACAGAGACCGAGCGGGCGGTCGGCCAACATGACGGCATGGACGAGATGGACCTTTCCTACCGGCGTCAGGGGCAGCAGGCTCTGCGGGAAGCTCTGGAGATTGTGCAGGACACTGACGGATGGAGGATGGAAATGAGTGAGGTCATTCTCTCTTTCACTGATGCTCTGTATTCCGCCTCCACCGATTTCCCAGAGTTATTACTGCTGCAGCTCTTATCTGAGCTTCAGAAGTGGCCAGAACAGCATCTGTCTGATGTAGCATCTTGTGTGCTCAGTAATAAGAAACACCCACAACTTCACGACTCCACACAGAGCTCTTCTCGGGTTTGTAGCGTCTGTTACTGCAGCAGGCGCCTCACTGCTGCATTGATATTGATCTCTAGTTGTGGTAATAATTGACTCAATCCATCCAAACATAGTCCATCATACAAGACATGTTTGGTGTCTGATGAATGGAAGCTTATCAGTGAGTGTGTTTACATGCACTTAATAATCTGATCATTATCAGACTGTTTATTTCTGCAGTTATCTGCTTTTTCCAAGTGGTCATGTAAACAGCACACTCTGTTTCCTTAGACAGGATTAAGGTCTATAAATCTGATTAAGAAATCTGATAAAGAGGCTGGAAAACGCAGGTAAACTCTGATTTCTTTCGTTTGTCTCAGTCTGAGCATGCATGAAAACAGAACTCTGAACCAGTTACTGACAATCTGATTTTCTGCAGTTATCAGATTATGAAGAGCATGTAAACTCGCTGAACCAGCTACTGACACAATCTGATTTTCGGCACTTATCAGATTATTAAATGTAAACACACTGAACCAGTTACTGACACGATCTGATTTTCTGCAGTTATCAGATTATTAAGTGTAAACACGCTGAACCAGTTACTGACATGATCTGATTTTCTGCACTTATCAGATTATTAATTGTAATCACGCTGAACCAGCTACTGACACAATCTGATTTTCTGCACTTATCAGATTATTAAGTGTAAACACGCTGAACCAGCTACTGACACAATCTGATTTTCTGCACTTATCAGATTATTAAGTGTAAACATGCTGAACTAGCTACTGACACGATCTGATTTTCTGCACTTATCAGATTATTAAGTGTAAACACGCTGAACTAGCTACTGACACGATCTGATTTTCTGCACTTATCAGATTATTAAGTGTAAACACGCTGAACTAGCTACTGACACGATCTGATTTTCTGCACTTATCAGATTATTAAGTGTAAACACGCTGAACCAGCTACTGACACAATCTGATTTCCTCAGATTATTAAGTGCATGTAAAGTGTAATAAGAAACCTCGCATAGGTATATCAGAGAAAAACAATCCTGAATGGCCAATTTTCTGTTTCATAATTAAAGATTTTAACCCTTTTGTTTCCAACCACAGCTCAACAATATGATAAGAGTACTACAGCACAATCCTTGCAGAGTTACAACACGCATTATGATTCTACTAAATAAAAATGAACTAAATCTTACAGACATGTATTTTTTAGTTTCTAGAAATCATTAGTGTTTTTCTGAAGAACTGAAAGCACATCTGTCTTTGCAGGAAAGCGGAGATGCCATCTACAGTAAAGTTCTCCATGGGAACCACAAGGTGTTCAGGCTAGAGGCAGAGCTGGAGGCTTCACCTGAGGAGTTATATGACATTTTGTTTGTGAAGGTGGAGGAGATGCACCGGTGGAATCCCAGCATCGGACAAATCAAAGTAAACAACCGCACCCAAAACACTACAACATAATAGAAACACATACCTTCTGCCTCTACTCACTGGCCACTTTATCAGAAACACCTACCATCTGCTTCGACTCACTGGCCACTTTATTAGAAACACCTACCTTGTGCTTCCGCTCACTGGCCACTTTATCAGAAACACCTACCTTCTGCTTCCACTCACTGGCCACTTTATTAGAAACACCTACCTTGTGCTTCCACTCACTGGCCACTTTATTAGAAACACCTACCATCTGCTTCCACTCACTGGCCACTTTATTAGAAACACCTACCTTGTGCTTCCACTCACTGGCCACTTTATTAGAAACACCTAACTTGTGCTTCCACTCACTGGCCACTATATTAGAAACACCTATCATCTACTTCCACTCACTGGCCACTTTATTGGAAACACCTACCATCTGCTTCCACTCACTGGCCACTTTATTAGAAACACCTACCTTGTGCTTCCACTCACTGGCCACTATATTAGAAACACCTACCATCTACTTCCACTCACTGGCCTCATTACGAGCTCCACCTAACTTATCAGTCCACTATATCGTGGTCAAAAACTGACCAGAAGGACTAGAGAATGGCTAACACAAACTGTAGGTAGTAAGGTAGAGCTAGAGAGAGGGTCCTGATGAAGTGAATGGATTGATTTATGCTTTATTTCAGCTCTGTCCTTGAAACAAACTCAGTTTAAAATGAATCACACAGTGGGGCTCCTGAAGTCTCCTCTTGTTGATTGTCCAATCTACAGTTGCTAGGCCATTGTTATGGCATCCCACGTGGTTGCTAAGGTGTTGCTAGGCCGCTGCTATGGTATCCCTGGTGGTGGCTAAGACGTTGCAAGGCCGCTGCTTTGATATCCCTGTTGGTATCTAAGGTATTACTAGGCCATTACTATGGTATCTTTGGTGGCTGCTAAGGTGCTGCCTGGCTGTGGCTATGGTATCCCTGGTGGTTGCTAAGATGTTGCCTGCCACTGTTATGGTATCCCTGGTGGCTGCTAAGGTGCTGCTTGGCTGTTGCTATGGGATCCCTGGTGGTTGCTAAGGTGTTGCATGCCACTGCTAAGATATCCCTGGTGGTTGCTAAGGAGTTGTTAGGTCATTGTTATAGCATCCAAGATGATTGCTAAGGCATTGCTAGGCCATCATTATAGCATCTCAGATGGTTGCTAAGGTGTTGCTAGGCAATTGTTATGGTATCCCTGGTGCTTGCTAAGGTGCTGCTAGGCCGCTGCTCTGGTATCCCTGGTGGTTGCTAAGGTGCTGCTAGGCAGTTGCTATGGTATCCCAAGTGGTTGCTAAGTTGTTCCCTGGCTGTTGCTGTGGTATTGCCAGGTATCCCAAGTGGTTGCTAAGGTGTTGCTTGCATACTTATATGATATGGTGACATAAGAGGACTGTCCAAAACATCTGGCTACAGAGTGTACATTGACTGTGGTGGAGCAAGAGGTGCAGCTATAAGAATTGTATAATGTATAAGTGAAGTGACTAAGTTTCAGAATGTTGAGCATTCTCTAATTCATTTGTAAGGGAAAAATATGTATATATATGTTTGAACAAACACTGTACGAACACTGCGGTTCAACAATCCTGCAAAGGTTTGTGGTTTTAGCTCGAAAGCAGCAGAAGGAGCGTCGCAAATTTCTGACCACAAAATAACAATAATAAGGAAACGAACAACTGTCAGTTGGCTTTTTTTAAGCCAACTATAATATATTGACATTTATATTATCACATCATATTTTTTATTATATTATTATCAATAATGTGAAGTAGGGAAGATCAAGAGTATTAAAAAATAATTTTGAATGTAAAAAACTAATGTAAGTGTAAATGCAGTATTACAGCCTGACTGATGTTTAGATACATATATAAAAAGTCTGTTTGGAGTCCTGATTCATCTTTGCGACAGATGTGCAAAGACTTCAAGGTTAATAATTCATATGTGAATGTTAAAATCTTATGTTTTCGTGCTGGAGAGATCCTGAAATTGTCTTGCAAGTGTTAAAAGCAGCATTCAGCATTACAGTCTAGCGCAGTTCTATAATGTTTACATCATATAGAACAAATATATTTCCATAACAGAAATGCTAATGTTTATTTTAACTGCTATCATCTTCAAAATGTTTGAACTCTTTGGTGCCGTAATGCGTCCGTTTATATTCTGAATGCTGTGTGGAGATGCAGGTTTTCCACTCAGGTGACATTTCAGAAATCTGACTGGAGAATCTGCTCAATTCTTTCAGAAGCGAGCATTATGGGAATCCTTTCAGGAGCTAATAACGCTTTGTTGATGGACTTTACAGGTTCTGAAACACACAGGGAAGGAAACCATGGTAACGTACGAGGTGTCGGCAGAGACGGTGGGGAATCTGATCGGTCAGAGGGACTTCCTGAGCGTTAGGCATTCGCTAAAGACAGCAGAGTGCATTTACCTGGGTGGAGCTGCCACTCACCTGGAGACCCACCCCCCTCAGCCGGGATTCATCAGGTAGGCACCCACCCATGTGTACAACAGGCACAGCTTCATTTAGGGCCTTTTCAGTTCAGCTAGGCTATCGTAGCTAACAAGTAACGGAAGCTTATGTATGCAAATTAGCATCAGGCAAACTTTAAACATTTATTTTAAAGTTGTTTTTAGCTATACATATTTTATATTTAACGTGTCACACAGTGTCAGAAACCACATAATCAAGTTTATTGAAGATTATTGAGCAACTCCACACAGCTTGAGTGGTTGATAATTTAAGCATGCATGTTAGCGTCATGCTAATTGGTGGGGTGTAATGTATTACTTGATAGCTATATTAGCCACTAGTTTGGTGTTTTTGATAAAATGGCCAGTGAGGGGAAGCACAAGGTGGGTGTTTCCAATAAAGTGGCCAGTTAGTGGAAGTACAAGGTGGGTGTTTAATAAAATGGCCAGTGAGGGCAAGCTCAATTTAGGTGATTCTAATAAAGTGGCCAGTGAGTGGAAGCACAAGGTGGGTGTTTCTAATAAAGTGGCCAGTGAGGGGAAGCACAACGTGGGTGTTTCTAATAAAGTGGCCAGTGAGGGGAAGCACAAGGTGGGTGTTTCTAATAAAGTGGCCAGTGAGTGGAAGTACAAGATGGGTGTTTCTAGTAAAGTGGCCAATTAGTGGAAGTACAAGGTGGGTGTTTAATAAAATGGCCAGTGAGGGGAAGCTCAAATTAGGTGTTTCTAATAAAGTGGCCAGTGAGGGGAAGCTCAATTTAGGTGTTTCTAATAAAGTGGCCAGTGAGGGGAAGCTCAATTTAGGTGTTTCTAATAAAGTGGCCAGTGAGGGGAAGCTCAATTTAGGTGTTTCTAATAAAGTGGCCAGTGAGGGGAAGCTCAATTTAGGTGTTTCTAATAAAGTGGCCAGTGAGGGGAAGCTCAATTTAGGTGTTTCCAATAAAGTGGCCAGTGAGGGGAAGCTCAATTTAGGTGTTTCTAATAATGTGGCCAGTGAGGGGAAGCTCAAATTAGGTGTTTCTAATAAAGTGGCCAGTGAGGGTAAGCACAAGGTAGGTGTTTCTAATAAAGTGGCCAGTGAGGGGAAGCACAAGGTGGGTGTTTCTAATAAAGTGGCCAGTGAGTGGAGGTACAAGATGGGTGTTTCTAGTAAAGTGGCCAATTAGTGGAAGTACAAGGTGGGTGTTTAATAAAATGGCCAGTGAGGGGAAGCTCAAATTAGGTGTTTCTAATAAAGTGGCCAGTGAGGGGGAAGCTCAATTTAGGTGTTTCTAATAAAGTGGCCAGTGAGGGGAAGCTCAATTTAGGTGTTTCTAATAAAGTGGCCAGTGAGGAGAAGCTCAATTTAGGTGTTTCTAATAATGTGGCCAGTGAGGGGAAGCTCAAATTAGGTGTTTCTAATAAAGTGGCCAGTGAGGGTAAGCACAAGGTGGGTGTTTCTAATAAAGTGGCCAGTGAGGGGAAGCACAAGGTGGGTGTTTCTAATAAAGTGGCCAGTGAGGGGAAGCACAAGATAGGTGTTTCTAATAAAGTGGCCAGTGAGTGGAAGTACAAGATGGGTGTTTCTAATAAAGTGGCCAGTGGGGGGGAGGCCCAAGGTAGGTGTTTCTAATAAAGTGGCCAGTGACTGGAAGTACAAGGTGGGTGTTTCTAATAAAGTGGCCAGTGAGTGGATGCCTAAGATAGGTGTTTCTAATAAAGTGGCCAGTTAGTGAAGTACAAGGTGGGTGTTTCAAATAAAGTGGCCAGTGAGGGGAAGGGCAGGGTAGTTGTTTCTAATAAAGTGGCCAGTGAGGGGAAGCACAAGATGGGTGTTTCTAATAAAGTGGACAGTTAGTGAAGTTTAAGGTGGGTGTTTCTAATAAACTGGCCAGTGAGGGGAAGCCCAAGGTAGATGTTTCTAATAAAGCGGCCAGGAACACCCTAATCTTCACCTTTAAAGTGAATTTAAGTGGACTATTCTGCTTATTGAGCATATGATCAATCAGATTCAGAAACTCATCAAGGAAACTGACATAATCAATCCCCAGCTGACTGACAGGACTTGATATCTCAAAATCGAATACACAGACCTGCTATGCATTTCACTCCAAGGCTAGCAGGGGCTCAACTGACCACAAATAACAGTGATTAATGCTAAGCAGGGAAGCTCTAATGCAAATATCTGATTTATTAGAGAGTTTGTTTGTTTGTTTGCAGAGCGGAGGACGGCCCCACCTGCATCATAATCCAGCCTTCGGCCCACTGCGCAGGAAAGAGCAGGTTTACATGGCTCCTCAATATGGATGTGAAGGTATGGCTGTATTTCTAACGTACACAACACTAAAGCCTTCATCGGGGAACGGTCCGGTTCTCTTTATCGCCGTGGCTGATTTACATGCAGTATTGTTGTCTGTGTATTTTCACACTCACACAAATACTGAGGCTTATTACAGCAAAAACAAACAGATTAGAACGGCATAAGAACAGACAGCATAATCTAGACCATTTGTGGTTGTTTGTCAATTCACTGATTTCAAAAAGATGGTGCTTCAAGGGTTCTTTAGTAAAGAAAATGGTTCTATATAGAACCATGAACATTCAAAGAACCCTCTGCATGATTAAAGGGTTCTTTGCATCATAAAGGGTTCTTCACTCTGATGGAAAATGTGTATGAATGTGCCATAGACAGTTCTATATAGAACCTTTTTTGAAGAGCACCCAATAGGGTTCTTCTGTTGTTACAAGCTTGACACCTTAACAATAGAAGAACCATTTTTGGATGGAAAATGGAATAGAGCCATTTTCAAAAAAGTTCTATACAGAACTGACTATAGCACATTCATGCACATTTTCCATCAGTCTGAAGAACCCTTTTATGATGCAAAGAACCCTTTCAGTTGAGTGTTCAAGGTTCTCTATAGAACCATTTCTTTACTGAAGAACCTCGAGGCACTATCTTTTTTAAAAGTGTATTTATCCAGATTTTTTAAAATGACACTGGAACAACAGAAAAACCTTTTTGGTGCTGTATAGAACCCTTTTCAAAAAGGCTCTATATAGAACGTTCTCCATCAATCTGACGAAACCTTTCATGTTTCAGTAAACCCTTTGATCATGCAAATGGTTCTGTGACTGTTAATGGTTCTATATATAATCATTTTCTTTACCAAAGAACCCTTGAAGAACCATCTTTTTTATGAGTGAGTGGCATTATTTTTGGTTGTGTTTTTAGTTCTAGCAAAGTACTGTCTGTTTTGAGTTCTAGCAGAGATTATTGAACTCCACACAGTTTGAGTGGTTAACAATTGAAGCGTGCAGTTAACATCATACTAATTGGTGGGTAAAACCTATTCTGTGATAGCTATAATAGCCACTAGATGGGTGTTTCTAATAAAGTGGTCAGTCAGGGGAAGCCCAAGGTAGGTGTTTCTAATAAAGTGGTCAGGTAGTGGACATACAAGGTGGGTGTTTATAATAAAGTGGCCAGTTAGGGGAAGTACAAGGTAGGTGTTTATAATAAAGTGGCCAGTGAGTGGAAGTACAAGGTAGGTGTTTCTAATAAAGTGGCCAGTTGGTGGAAGTACATGGTGGATGTTTCTAATAAAGTGGCCAGTTAGTGGAAGTACAAGGTAGGTGTTTATAATAAAGTGGCCAGGTAGTGGAAGTACAAGGTAGGTGTTTCTAATAAAGTGGCCAGTTGGTGGAAGTACATGGTGGATGTTTCTAATAAAGTGGCCAGTTAGTGGAAGTACAAGGTAGGTGTTTACAATAAAGTGGCCAGTTAGTGGAAGTACAAGGTGGGTGTTTCTAATAAAGTGGCCAGTTAGTGGAAGTACAAGGTAGGTGTTTCTAATAAAGTGGCCAGTTAGTGGAAGTAGAAGGTGGGTGTTTCTAATAAGGTGGCCAGTTAGTGGACATACAAGGTGGGTGTTTCTAATAAAGTGGCCAGTGAATGGAAGCCCAAGGTAGGTGTTTCTAATAAAGTGGCCAGTTAGTGGACATACAAGGTGGGTGTTTCTAATAAAGTGGCCAGTTGGTGGAAGTACAAGGTGGATGTTTCTAATAAAGTGGCCAGTGAGTGGATGTATAACGTGGGTGTTTCTATTAAGGTGGTCAGTGAGTGAAAGCACAAGGTAGGCGTTTCTATTAAAGCAACCAGGAACACCCTAATCTTCACCTTTAAAGTGAATTTAAGTGGACTATTCTGCTTATTGAGCACACGATCAATCAGATTCAGAAACTCATCAAGGAAACTGACATAATCAATCCCCAGCTGACTGACAGGACTTGATTATCTCAAGGAGGTTTAAAGTATAAGGAGTTTTTTTTAAACCAGAAGTTCTCCTACTGCGCCACAGCTGTAGAAGACGTGTTAGCAAATTTATAACAGATGATTTATAACAGATGAACAGATGAACACTTTTGATTTTGGTTGGACTGTCCCTTTAACACAGGTTCCGCACCAGTTAATTAAGGACTGGTACTGCATATGGTATTGTCTGCTTCGAGTTCTCACTTTCACTCCTCAAACTGATCCCTGAGATCCCTGGCTATAAAGAGAGAAAGTGGGGATTCTCCTTCTTTCTGCTATAAAACAACTATAAACAATCCCAGGATTTTCACTCTCAGAAAAAAAGGTAGTAAACTGTCACTGGGGTGGGACCCTCAAGGGTCCATCAGGGAACATAACTGTACCCTAATCCACTGAAATGATATGTTCTAAGCTGTACTGACTCCACACACCCCGTCTCGTCTCCAGGCTTTTATTTTACTGTTCTGTTTAAAACATTCGGTTATGAAAAGGTACAAATACAAACTTTTCACCTGGAAAAACTTATTTAAGGTTCACAATCAGACCTTAAAACCACTGTTGGAGCTTTGAGGGAACATTTACACTGTTTGTACCTTGATGAACGAAAAATGTACCTTTATTTCTAACAGTGTAGATGTAATATTGTGCTATTTCTCTGCAAATATGGTGTCAGAATTCAAGACGGTTGTATTTCCTAATTAGCTGTCACAGGAGTGCGCGTTAAATCCCTCAAATAGGGAATCATTACTGAGCTAATTATGCGTGGAGAGGAGCGTTCGCTACAGAGCTGATGTCTCTGACAGAAAGAAACAGGTGAACAAACACAATCAGACAGGGTTGTCTGTATATCCGTCATTCCCGGGAGCATTATTATTATTATGTGTCCTTCCTCCACTAAAGCGGAAATGAAGAATTTAGCTGACTGCATGTGTTCCGCTCCTGTACTGCTGTTTTCCGAGGGCCGAAGCTGCCATTCAGCACTGTTTGCTTTCCATTATGTCTCTGCTGAGCTCTGCTTGTACCAGAAACTCAATGTTCTGATGTCTAATTTCCCAGCAGCATCAAACTCGCCGCTAACGGTCCACGATCAGCAGCTGCAGCAGGTTCTTCATGAAGAAGTGGCATCCTAATCTGAACTCTTTACTCCCGGCTCGCCCCTCACGAAGGGCTCAATAATTCATTCAGTTCAGTTCAAATGAATGGGGTTGAGAATTGACGTAGACCAGTGGGCCTTAGTTTCATGTACACTGGCATTTTTTTGCCTGTGGAATCTGGTCAAAATGAACATATTAAGTTCAATTTTTATTAAAAACTTCAGTTAATATTTTAAATAAACACTTAATAGAACTGAAAACTGGAGAACTTAACGCCCCTTTATGTATGGTGTCCCTCACAGCCTTGAGGTCAAAGCTTTAGCATTAGTTAAAAAACAGTTGTCCAATCTGCACAGTTGTCATCTTACCCCAGCTTTGGTCAATCAGACAAGATCAGCTCACAAAAAAAGTAGTCACCTGTGACTGAAATGTACCTAATAGCATGTAATAGCTGTGATTCGGTTTAGCCTGGACTGGACAAGTTTCTGGATGTAGGCGACATCGATGTTCAGCCATTCTTGCATCAAAGAATTGCACAGTTCGGCAAGATTTCCTGGATCCGTCCCTGGTGTCTTACACCAAATCTGGGGATTTTGAGGGCCAGTCCAGATGTGTGAATCATGACAATCAGCCCCTTTTGCAGCCCGGTGAACACGAGAATTGTCATCTTGGAATACAGGGATAGGAATGTTATGTTCCTCAGGCAAAACCTGGTTGTTCAGCAGTTCAGTGTGGGCACTGTGGCTTAAATTTACTGTCACCTCAACCAAAGAACCCATTTCAGCATAATTAAAAAACTTGACCCACACCTGCCTCACTGAAGGCTTCCTGAGGTCTACAATGAACATGACACTGAGCATCATTCACACACAGGCAGAAACCAGATTCATCTGACCAGATAACACATTTCCAGTCATAAACAGTCCAGTGTTTGTGTCTCTTCGTCCACTGTAACCATACCTTTGTGAGCAGAAGTGAGTCCCTGTCTGTCATTTTCGCCTTTCAGCCACAATTCTGATGAGAATTTCCTGTAGGCTGGGATTTTCGCAACTGCTGGTCGACCCGTATGACCGTACGCTTCAATACACCTGCAAATTCAGCTGCTTCCTTCACGCTGTGGCCTTTGGCGCCCAAATGCAAATCACTCCTTTTTGCCAATCATTAACATCTGCTTTGAGACCCATTTTCCACACATTGAATGAGACATTCACCACACTGTACCACCTTTTCTCAATCTATGAATCCTAATGCACACTTGCAGGTATTTATAGCCCGATCATCCTTGTGCAGCGCCATCTGCAGGAGCTTGAAGTTACTCCCACCTTAAACATGCAAGGTGACTAATGTTTTTGTCAGGGGAGCTTATATTATCAGTAAAAATCTTATCACGTTATCAGCTAAGACATTGTTTTACATTATTGGGTGACTTACCACATTAATGTTCTGGCTGTTATTTAATTATTAGGAAATTATTACATTATTAGGCTCTACACACATGCATCCAGCGTCCTATGTAGAAGTCTTTTTTAACCGCAACATGTGGCGTAGGAGTGTATCACACTTTCTTCGCCTCCACCTCGTGTAGTCATTGTAGTCACTGTGTAGTCATCAGTTACCGAGATGGTTTTGCCAAAGGATGATGAAAGCTGATTAAATTGTTGGTGTGATTGAAGTTTAATAAAGCGTTACTTTTGTGAAAAGTCAGTTGAAAACAGACTTTATTATCTGCAGATCAGTTAAAGTGATGACTCACTCAGATTCCTCTGTTCTTGAATCTTATCCCCTGCATCTTCTCCTTGTTTTCTTCAGAGGGAGGAGCTGAGCTGGAAGGAAAGGAAATGAGGATAAATGATAAAAGATATGAGATCCACCCAAAGTGGTGTATCTGCCAGCAAAAGTGTGGGTATCTCATTAATTCGCTGCTAAATGCTTCAAACAAAACTGTTGAATAACGTAACTTCTATTTAATCAGACAAGACAGTTTTACACTGGAGCTGCAAGGCTAACATTGCTAACAAAAACTAAACTCTTAAAAAAGATGGTTCTTCTGGGGTTCTGTAGTAAAGACAATGGTTCTGAACACTCAAAGACCAGTTCATGCTTACATAGTTCTTTGCGTGGTGAAATGGCTTCATATTACTATATAGGTGCACTTTGTAGTTCTACAGTTACAGACTGTAGTCCATCTGTTTCTCTGATACTTTGTTAGCCCCCTTTTACCCTGTTCTTCAGTGGTCAGGACCCCCATGGACCCTCACAGAGCAGGTACTATTTGGGTGGTGGATCATTCTCAGCACTGCAGTAACACTGACGTGGTGGTGGTGTGTTAGTGTGTGTTGCGCTGGTCTGAGTGGATCAGACACAGCAGTGCTGCTGGAGTTTTTAAACACCTCAGTGTCGCTGCTGGACTGAGAATAGTCCACCAACCAAAAACATCCAGGCAACAGCGTCCTGTGACCACTGATGAAGGACTAGAGGATGACCAGCACAAACTGTGCAGCAGCAGATGAGCTATCGTCTCTGACTTTACATCTACAAGGTGGACTGACAAGGTAGGAGTGTCTAATAGAGTGGACAGTGAGTGAACTCCAGCAGCACTGCTGATCCACTCGCACCAGCGCAACACACACTAACACACCACCACCATGTCAGTGTTACTGCAGTGCAAGCTGCAAATGAAAAACGAGCTGCAATCACAGAAAACACTCATCAAAATGACGACACTGACGCTACATTTCATAAACGCGCTGCAAACACAGAAACACATGCAACTTCAGAAAAGTTGATAAGCCAGTCGCAGCACAGCGGAGGTGTTTCCGGAGGACAGTCAGAGACGACGGAGCCATCCAGACTTTTAAACTCTATGCAGCACAAACATTCACCGGTAAAAGACAGTTCAGTTTTATTTGAGCAGATTACTGACATCACTGTATCGTAATGGGAATTAGCTGCAGAGAGTAACTGTGAAGGTTTAACTAGTAACACCAGATTAACTACCACAGCACAGCTCTGACACGTCAGATAGCAAATATGGCCAGGTTAACCATGAACTCGGCGTGTGAGGGTCCGAGTGTCTGTGGTCTGATCTGCTTCTCTCAGTGATTTTCCATCATAGATATTCCATCCACTTTGAGCCCTTTGAGTCTTCCAGAAACATTTCCGTTGTGTTATGATTGGCTTTGCAGCGTTCCTGAATTTGCCTGTGTTTCCTTTATTTGCAGTGTGTTTGTAAAGTGTAGCTCCAATGTAGTCATGTTGATAAATATGTTTTCTGTGTTTGCAGAGCGTTTATGAGTTTGCAAAGTGTTTTAAACTGTACTATGAATAGGATCTTGTCGGCTAATATACAAGTAGGTCCACATTGACTTTTGTTTTGACCTGCCAGAAATTTGCTCCAATCTCTTCATGAAATGAGAGGTAAAAACATTTTTATACTACTTCTTATTTTTTTTTTTAAGATTTCATTTTCCTTCTAAGATATCACATATCACCACTGTCTAAAGAACAACAGGTATCTTCAAGAGGGTAACCTTACAGAAGAGGTTGATGTAAAGAGATTTTATTTGAATTAATTTGGAAGCATTTCTATTGGTCCAATCATCAAATTTTCACACAATGTACAGAACAGCGGCTCAAATTCCACAGAAAACTAAACATTGCAAACATTTTTTTGGACAAAAATGATATGAAGTCACTTTTTCAAAACCCGAATTTGACCTAGAACCCACCTATCTCCTTTGTCGTTTTGTCTTTTTGGCCTTCGGCCCACCACAAACATTTTTGGCCACCCCTGTGCAGCCTGTCTTTTCTCCTCCACAGGGCTGGATTCCTAAATCCCTGGTGAACCAGGCTCTCCCACGAGCTCAGCTGGACTTCACCAAGCACCTGCGGCGGCGTCTGGCAGCAGGGGGGCATGAGCCTGCACCTGCAACCGACACACACTCATGAGACCACAACCTTTTCAGAAAACACCCTGCAGACTGAGGACACACCACTGAGCAGAGACTCGCCTGATCCGCCTGCATCAATCAAAAACACCCCCGACATGAGGGTCTAAAATAGAGGCGCCCGAACCCGAACTTGATCCAGCACCTAATCTAACACAGCTGCCTCCATATTCACATGCTCAGAGACTCTGACTCGCTGCATCAGGTGTGACAGATTAGTGTCGGTGCCTCTGGATGACCACCAGTAGGAGGACTGGATGCACCTGTAGCTTCATATGAAATTTGTGTACATTTTAAACTGCATACTTTTTAAAAATGTCCATTTTAATAGGCATGTGAGGCCCTTATTTTAATCTAATTTGGAAGACTGTTGGAGATCATTTTCAAAAAAATCCAATCATTCTCATATATGAGCAAGTTTATACATCTTTAATGGGAACTTTCACCAATTCTGCAAAATATCCTGCATAATTAAACGGTTAAGATGTAAACATTCAGAGTGGTTCTGCATTCTCGAGAAACTTACCCAGTCAGAACTGTTCACAGTGGTGGTGATAGGAACCAGACGTCCACCTCTAAAAGCTCCCTCACAGAAAGTTACTACATGAAATGGTTATAAATTCACTGCCTGATGACTGAGACACTGTTTTATGATAGTTTTGAGAGCTTAAAATCCATCCATGGTGGAGGGATACATGCAGGGTGTTTTGAGGCAAAATTGACCCTCAAAGAAAACTGATATGTCAGATTTTCCACTATTTCCCATCATCAACATTCCATATAAACTCAGAAGACTCGTGTAGGTTCACTGGTGGTTCTGGATAGTAAAAAAATGTCTATATTTGTGTTGTAGTCATGGCGACCCCTGGTTCCTATCACCACCACTGTAAAGACATCTGAACCATTTCACACCAAACCTCTCTAAATCACACTGTTTACACCTCACACACTGAATTATGCAGAAATTTTGAAAAATGGTGGAACTCATTACACATTTGGTGTTGGGGGGAAACTGTCATTTTGATTGTGCTTTAAGTGCAACTTTAGCATCAACCTCAGCCCATTCACTGCACTCCAACTGTTGCAGGCACAGTGCTGAGAGTGGATTCGTCCTTAATAAAGTCAAAAAGTGATGACTAACACTCAGTTTATCTCTCCTAGATCAACATTTATTTCTGTATTTACTGAGTGCAGGTACAGAGACTCTGTAGGAGGACAGTGTGAAGTTCTTTTTTTGCCCAATGATGTACCTACAAGAACAGCTTCATACCAAGTCAGTTCTTTGGAATGGATATCAGTGAATGCAATAGACCAAAATTGCAAAATGCACTGTCACTGGGTCTAAAACGTGGAGCAGCATTTGATATAGGAATAAAAAAACATTCAACACGAACTCCATCCCTGCCTCAGTGACTCATTTTCCACCAAACTCGAAGGTCTGATGCTGCTAACCTTAACCTGATCTGTCTTTGTCTTGCAGCTGGGTGGACTGTTTGGACTGGACTTTTAATTAAAGTTAATGAACAGGTGATCAGGCATAATATTCTGACCACCTCCTTGTTTCTACACTCATTGTCCATTTTATCAGCTCCACTTACTATATAGGTGCACTTTGTAGTTCTACAGTTACAGACTGTAGTCCATCTGTTTCTCTGATACTTTGTTAGCCCCCTTTTACCCTGTTCTTCAGTGGTCAGGACCCCCATGGACCCTCACAGAGCAGGTACTATTTGGGTGGTGGGTCATTCTCAGCACTGCGGTAACACTGACGTGGTGGTGGTGTGTTAGTGTGTGTTGTGCTGGTCTGAGTGGATCAGACACAGCAGTGCTGCTGGAGTTTTTAAACACCTCAGTGTCACTGCTGGACTGAGAATAGTCCACCAACCAAAAATATCCAGCCAACAGCGTCCTGTGGGCAGCGTCCTGGGACCACTGATGAAGGACTGGAGGATGACCAACACAAACTGTGCAGCAGCAGATGAGCTATCGTCTCTGACTTTACATCTACAAGGTGGACTGACAAGGTAGGAGTGTCTAAGAGTGGACAGTGAGTGGACACAGTGTTTAAAAACTCCAGCAGCACTGCTGTGTCTGATCCACTGAAGAGAAACTGACAAACACTAAAAAGTCGTGAGGCTGAAGTCAGTTTCTCATTCGCCAGCTTCTTGTTCAAATGTTCCCGTTCCACCTTAAATGGTGCAGCAGTTACATTCTGGTGCCTCAGGCACCATTTAAGGTGGAACGAGAAAATTCGAACAAGAAGGTGGCGAATGAGAAGCGACTGCAGCCTCGTAAAAAGTCACATTAACATTAACATTAAGAGACATTTTGCAAGAAACTGTTCTACTTTTTTGGAAAAGTTTCCTGACTGAGATGTGAGAAAAGCTACAGCTGAGCTAAACCTTAAAGCATTAGTACATAGTGAGACATATTTACAGCCAAGATGGTAAAATGGAGATAAAAGTTTGTGACTTCCCAAGGTGGTTTGATTTTCATTGAAAGAAAAAATGTCTCTTCTTAACATTTGGGACAATAGTTGCGACCCCTGGGTTAACTTGAATTGGTATTGTGGTATTGTGCCTGTCCAGGGTGTATCCTGCCTTCCGCCCAATGACAGCTGGGATAGGCTTATGTGTGTGTGTGTGTGTGGTATTGTGTTTGAGCACTGAAATCATATATTCCATCAAATTCATTCATTAAACATGATTTTCGGGCTCCCGAGTGGCGCAACCATCTAAGCGTTGGCCCTCATCAGGAGATCGCGAGTTCGATCCCTGATGATGCTACAGCCGTCCGTAGCCGGGAGTCCGAGAGAGCACAATTGGCCTCGCTCTCTCTGGGTGGGTAGGATGACCACCCCTCTCCCCCCATCACTCAGCGCGATGCTAGTCAGCGCAGGCGTCTGTTAGCTGGCGGTTGGCGCTTTCCTCCGAGCGCGTTCGGCTGTCCAGTGACGTTGCGTGAGCGGCAGTTCGAAAAGAAGCGGTGGTTGGCTTCACAGGTCTCGGAGGAAGCCTGCGTTAGCCTTCACCCTCCTAGCGTTGATAGCATCGTGTGATTGGGGGAGTCCTAACTAGCGGGTGGAATTGGAGACGACTAAATTGGGGAGAAAATTGGGTAAAAATATCAAAAAAAAACATGATTTTCGTCTATGCAATAATTGTCTACAAACGCATATTTGCAACATTTCCCAGTGTTTCCTAATTGGCCCTTCAATTGTGCTCAATTTTATATCAAATCTTGTTGAAAAAGTTTCTACATGCACTTTATATACATGCATACACTTTAGAAATGATATACGTACATGATTCATGAACATACTCTCTATAAAACACCAGTAAAAAGGTTGGACTCATCCATGATAATCCATAATTACTCCTTACGTACCTTCTGGTTTAGAGTCTTCTTCAGCTTCCCTCTGTCTTGGTGTACTCCGAAGCAGCTTCATGAGGAGCCGCCTGAGATGGTGACTTTTACAAACGTTTGAAACTTCACCACTTAGACACAAATATCAAGCATTTAAGCAACTTTTGACTGCTGCAGTTTATGGTTCTCCTCCTCCTGAACCTGTGAAGCTACAGTCTGTCACAGCGCAGTAAAAGCCAGAGCCGTTTCCTCAGCATCTCTTAATGGTTGACCTTTCTCCTTAATAGCTTGAGTCACAGCCGTGTCAGGCTCCTGAGTGGAATTAGAGAGGGCAGATGAGTGCAGCAGTGGGAGGCTGGAGGCTTGCATAATACCAGACAAGTGGATCTTCAAAAATCTCCAAAACGCTGCTTAAAATTCTGAGTGTCCGCACGGAAACCACTTCACAACCTCCAACCTCTCCTGTACCATCTGGGCTAACGAGGCTGGCCTGCATGGCTCTGTAACAAGATCAAAGAATGAACAAATGCATTTTAAATCACTTCTTCTCCACCACGTAAACAAACCCATCCACTCTGACTGGTCCTCCACTTTGAGCAAGTCAGAATCAATGCGGTCCTTGCCGAAATGTCGCCCTAAGGACCCTCCTTTCCACTGTAGAGCCTGGTTCTCATGGCCATATTGTGCCATTCGATGCAGTCGTGGACTCATGAGGCTGGTTCTTTTTCCTCTTTGCAGGGTAACCAAATCAGGACTGGGAAAACATCATGTCAGTAGCTCAGCGATGGCTAACAGGCTAATAGCTACACAGATCATGTACAATTCCTGCTGTCACTCCAACACCAGTAACTCGATTATATGCTCTCCCATTCTTTATCTTCTAAACGTGTGTTTGAACATCACTTAGCTGGAACCGAGCCTGTACTGTGGTGGGTGGTGCCTGTAGTCTGCTAACTGAGCTAGTGTTAGCTTAGCTCAGCAGGCTACAGCTCATAAACACATCAGAACTGGTTCAATTTCAGCTTTCTGTCACTCCAGCACCAGCCACTCGACTCTGTGCTCTCTGATATCCTCTAAATGAGCTGGAACCAAGGCTACCATTAGCTTAGTCAATGCGCTACAGTCCTAAACACCACTCGACAGGTTTGATTTTGGCTTTCTATCACTCCAACACAAGTCACTTGACTTTTGCTCTCTCAAACATCAGTTTTTATCATCTACGCATCCAAGATAGCCAGAATTAAACCTGTACTCCCATAGCAAGAGGATGGCAATGCTGGTGGCCCACTGGCTTTTTGTTAAGGGTTTACTGGGCAGCCAAGTGGTGGTTAGCAGAGTGTTAGAGAAAGTTAAGGTGACCAGGTTTCTGAAATGAAAACCAGGGATATTTCCAGTTTGGCGGTCAACATATCATTAAATGTCCAATGCTTTAATCTATGAAATAAAAAAGGGGGGCAAGTTCATTTTAATGTATTTTGGTCATGATAACTGTTGTACTGTAATAAGCTATGGTGAAGGCCGACTAATAAAACTGGGTACTAACTAAATAACTTAGTAAACCATGTCAGAAAATCATACAGTAGCTACCATGGAGAGTGAAGCTGGTAAACTATGGAAAAAAGAGACCCTTGGATA